AGCGCAAGCAGCTGCGAGACACCGTTAGCAGGGACACCGGGGAGAGTGGATGTTACATACCCAAAAGCTATGACCACCCACTATATGCTGCCACTTAAATATGAGCGTACACGCGCAGCCGCACACGCAGCGCCAAGCGCGAATTCGCAGCCCGCGGAACGTATGCGGCTTCCTGTGTAGCCCTCCGTATGACCCGTGAGTTGAGCTCGACGACGATCAAGGATGCATGGCAAGCCTATGAGTGCCGTAGGTCGGCACATAGAGCAAATGCTACGGCTATATGCAAGATTTGGGGATGGAAATTTTGACGAAAGTGGGGGCACGCACCAAAGACGAGCGAGGCGTTGCCGAAGAGAAAGGACCTCAGAAAGTGGCCAGTTGGTGCTCAGGAAGGTCGCTTGAGTTGTGTATTAGCAGAAGGAACCGGCGCTACAACGCAATGAGACGGGCGGAGAGAGAGCTTTCGGGGGTGGATTATCATGCCATGATCTGTCAGCGGGCAACCGGATAACTGCCGGATAAGGTCGCCGGCTGCCTTTTCAGGCCCAGATCATGACCTGATCAGGCCGGCATCTTATAAGGCTAATTTTATTTTTCCGACATACTTTAATCAGCTTAGATTCCAGTGCGATTTGTTTCGACTCTTTGGCATTTGAGTAGCACCTTGGCTTTGCCTAACTTTGGCAATCTTCGGTGTGACAATTATTGCGATTCAGGGCAAGATCCGAAAAACGGCGCTGTCCTTTCCCTCCCTGTCTCGGTAACCCAGACGTTCGGGTGTGATCCTGTATCTTATCAGATCCAGCGGAGTTTTACTGTAATAAATGATAAGAAAAGATGCGCGAAGATCACACCCGAACATCTGGGGCATTAATAAGGTATAGGGACATCCAGGGTGGTGTCACAGCCAGTTTTTTGTCCCTTCCCCTTCAGTTCTGGCCCAAAGACTCTGTTTAGTGGTCAGTGGACCGCCTGCCATGAATGCCCCCATTTTTCTCTATTTTTTTCGCCTCATTTGACTTTGCTGTTGGGCGCGTAAAACAGCGACTTTGGGGCAGATGGAAACACCGCTTGCCTTTTGCGCGCTCAAAGTCGGCGAAAGAAATTAGGGGGGGGGGGGGAATGGGAACAAGCAAATATCATCTCAAACACCTTTGTACAATACTAGGGTCGTCCCTTGTGTTTTGAGCTGCACCAGTGCGAAAGGGCTTGAGCATGACGGGACTATGGGGGTAATACTGGGACATTATTATCCCCAATTTTGCGAAAATTTACACTGTTGTTTCTCTGATCCACATCGGTGGTTTTGTCTGATTTACACAGGTGTTCTCACACCTAAGAATTACACATGTCTAAGAATTCCAAGAAATTGCACCACTGAAGATCTGTTCGAAAAACACACAGGTTGCACTCCTGCCAAAACACACACCTTGTAGCGCGCATCAGAAATTATACCACGCCAATGGCTTTGGTTTTTTACACAATCCTTGAATCTCAAATATTTCCCACCTCCCTTCCAGCTTCGAAAATACACACACACTCCTGTATCCGGGCCATTATATGCTCAAGGGGTTCATTCTGTGGGGAAATCACTGTCCAAGCATGGATCTATGGGCCCTAAACACTGGTGGAAGATTTCAAGTTTTTGAGTGAAAAAATTGGTGAAAAGTGTTTTGAGTTTTACAGAAGTTTTTTTGCCAAAAATGTAGGTAAAAAACTTGAATAATTTTCAAAAGTTTTCCAACTTTAGGTGAAAATGTCGAAATAAAATGGAAAACTGCTGAAAAACTCTTGAGTTGTTCACCTACATTTTTGGTAAAAACTTAATTTTCACCAATTTTTTCACTCAAAAACTCGAAATCTTCCACCAGTGTAGGCACAAACAGTACTTCATGAACCATCAATCAACTTCAATTATTGGATGGGTCGGGCCCAGGTCGGACTTGGGCTTGAGCCCGCGATCCTGACAACACTAATGGTGGCTACGAATTGACATCTCTCTCCCCTGACCCGGGCTGTACCACAGATTAGGTACCAGTAATTGACCTGGTGTACTCCATGTGAAAAATGGAAGCCTTGGATGTCGCATTTTCAGCCAAATTGATCACGGCTTCCCATATTGTTGAACTATACATACAGGAATTGATGTGCTCAGGTTGGAGGTGATGCCCAAACCAAGCCCCGGGAACAAATCAGTCCTCACCCCGCACTGTTGCTCGCATTGCGCAAAGCATAATCATTTCTAGGGTGCCTCCGTCAGAGCGCAACCCTCTTCAAGCAGAACTGTTTGGTGTTGCATGAGTTACAGTGACACAGATAGGATCTCTGTTAAGATACAATGTTACTTATGCTCTGGAAGATCACCATAGGCTCATGGAAAACTGTAAACTGGTTGTCAGGGCATCGCATTCTCGGGCGGCAGGGGCATTTGAACATGAACACGGCGTTGAACGTGCTGCAGATCTCGTAAATGTGAATCACGACCTGCATCCGTTAGAACCATATTATACTGGCCTATTGCCAGAAACTCGAGTGCAACTGCAATTCAACAGCATTTTCCTTCTCCCATTAGTGTTGTCCTCTCCCCCAGGTACTTGCCTTTATTCGTCTATATTTTTGGTCAAATGTGCACTTTGATGCCTCGTCGCATCTTTAAGCAACTAATCCCATACTGGAGTGTTCAAATCGCATGTGACTTGATCAGGTGAGGTTCTCCAGGCCAACACCCCCTGTCCAAGCGAATCAGAAGTCTGGAAAGAGAACTTGGATGCTCTCACACTGGTGGAAGATTTCGAGTTTTTGAGTGAAAAAATTGGTGAAAATTAGTTTGGGTTTTACACAAGTTTTTCACCAAAAATGTAGGTGAAAAACTCAAGAGTTTTTCAGCAGTTTTCCATTTTATTTCAAAAATTTCACCTAAAGTTGGAAAACTTTTGAAAATGATTCAAGTTTTTTACCTACATTTTTGGCAAAAAACTTCTGTAAAACTCAAAACATTTTTCACCAATTTTTTCACTCAAAAACTTGAAATCTTCCACCAGTGTCAATGTCCTTTCTAGTCCATTCCTTTCGTAACATGCAGTTTGAGTGGCAATGCCCATGGGTTGAAGATTCTTAATCACAATAATTCCTTGCTGGCAAGTATGTGGTCATTTATCATGGGAGAACTACCCCCCATCCTCTGGCTGAAATACAGTATCTTGCTAGGGGAAGATGCGGAAGTAGCACCGTGATCCAACGGTCTGGTTTTGAACGGTCCTGGTTTTGAACGAAACGGACATGATCTGTGCTTTCTGCAAAGGATTTGGTGTCAAGAATCAATGAATTCCCGCAAGGGATTCAAAGTCCTCGGACACCTGTCTATTTTGTAGCAGTCACACAGCTGTGATTTTATTTCAATTTTAAAATGAAGCAGTGAATCTCGAGAGGATCTTCAGCTACACATTTTATATGACCATTGAACCTGTGCATAAATGCTGCATGCCAACCTGTGTCATTTTCTAGGGAGACAAATGTGGTTGTGTAATTATTGAGGCATTCCCGGACCTGTGTCATTTGTTGGTTTATTAGGTGTGTAAATTCTGCGGTCAGTCTGCGACCCTGTGCAAAAAAAACATCACATACCCAAATTTTCATGAAAAACACGAGGTTGTGTCACAAATAATAATGTCCCACTATTACAGCCATACGGGACACCCGGGGTGTTGATATACCAATTGCCCCAGACGTTCAGGTGTGATTTGCGCACATCTTTCCTTGTCATTTATTAAAACTCCGCCGGATCAATCCGAGCGATAAGATAACAGGGTAAGGTACCCCCCATCCACCTTCGACGAACGTCACGTGTCGTTACGGTCACACTTCCGTTTCCGGTTTCGATAGACAAAACATTTTATTTTGAACCAACGAGGGCTTCCGGGGCAAATCCACTCGACCAGATTACGCATATACATTCAAGGTAGGTATGGATGAAATAATTATGGCTCTTTGGCCTCTCTACACTAGTCAATTAAGCAATGATTACAATTTTACACAAGAAAACAGCTATTAGTGAATGCCCGCAGAGTCGAGCTCTTCCAAAATAGACTTGGGGTATGTTCTATGGCTGGGATATCGTTTCGCAGCCCATGCAGCCTGCGGTCCAGTTAGGTTGTGGTTGAGGTAGGCATCCCCGAACTGATAACAACGATTGACATATCTGACAGTTTGCATTTAGGTCAGCATAGTTGAAAACAAAGTCAGAATCAGCGTGCTGTCGCATAAATAACAGGGGTACTGCATCCAAGGAGTCCACTGTGTTCTTTTCAAGATGATCTTCACGCAACAACTCCGGTTTCAGCCGATTTGGCCCAATTCTTTGGCAGATTTGCTAATTCCGGGCCCAAATCAGGGATTTAGACCACGTATCTTTGATTGGGGAGGATTATCAGGTCCATATCTAGAATCTGGTCGAAGGATTTGGCTCAATGTGGTCTAGTAATTATTTTATAGAATTATCTACTGGACTCGTCCGAGAGAGGAAATTGTCACAAAGACCACGTGATGTTCGTCGAGGGTGGATGGGGGGTACCTTATATCGGTTTCCTTTTATATTTCTCTGCGCTCAGGCGCCCGGTCTAATTGACCTTCAGATTCCGATTTAACGCTGTATAAATGAGACGCAGTCGCGGAAGGTACGCGATATCATCATTGTGCTGAGGCTTGCAAGCGGGAGGCCCTGGTTCAATTTCAGGCTGGGCCATTATCATAGTGTGCTTTTCGCATGTCTCCTCCGAGTTCTAGGTGAAAGCACGCAAAGACGGGGTTAAATCCGCCATCCGTGCTACTAATTTTCCTGTTTCCCTTTGCCATTTGGCGTGATGCGCTGCCACGAGAACGTCCCGGCTGACTCGACTTAGCGAACTCCTACGCGTCCGCGTCTGTGCACCGCTCACGCTGCCTGGCAACTCTTCCACGGATTCCGTGTTATGAGGTTCCACCCGGAAGAAACAAGACCCAGTGACCCAGTGGCGGATGGTGCCGCGCCCTCGTTGTGTGAATAAATGAGTGCCCGGAGAATAATTGTGGGAGTCCCTGGTTCGACTCCAGGCTGGGTCATTCAGTATCTTTCACCTTTTGGTTGATATCACACCTAAAGGAGAGTTCAGTGCTGTAGAAATCAGACCCAGTGGCGGAGGGTACGTCGTCCGCGTGCGGTGTGTATGCGTTCCCAAAGAATATTTGCGGGACGTCCTGGTTCGACTCCAGGCTGGGTCGTGGGTGTTTTTTCTTTCCTTTGCCTGTTGCTCGGGATCGCGGCTCATAATCGCACTTAAAGCAGAGGTCAGCGCTACAGGAATGAGACCCGGTAGCGGCCGGTACCGCGCTCGCGCCTTGTGAAAAGCCGCCATATCAAAAGTGCTGCGGGTGGTCCTGGTTCGACTCCAGGCTGGGTTATTTCATCTGCCTTCGCCTTTTTCTCTCTTGCCTTCTGCAATCTGATTCAAAATCGTTTCGTTCAACGTAGGGTTCAACTCCACTGAAATGAGACCCAGTTGCGGACGGTACCGCGCCCGCGCAATATCGATAAGAAGTTGACTTCCACCCGGGAGGCCTTGGTTCGACTCGGACTCCAGGCTAGGTCATGGGTGTTTCCATTATTTTTCCTGTGCCTTTTGCTTGACATCGCAGCCCAAAATCGCACCTGAAGCAGACGTCAGCGCTACAGGAATGGGACCCAGTAGCGGAAGGTACCGCACCCGCGCCGTGTCAGGGCCCATTGTATTTGGCTGCGGGAGATCCTGGTTCGGCTCTAGGCTGGGTCATTATTTTTCCTTCCTTTGCCTTTAGCTTGACATCGCAGCTCAAAATCGCACCTGAAGCAGACTTCCGCGCGACCGGAAGGGAGACCCAGTAGCGGACGGTGTCGCACCCGCCCCGTGTAGCTCCTGATGGTACTAGCGGCGGGAAACCGTGACAACCCTGGTTCGACTCCAGGCTGGGCCGTGCGCTTTGGTGGGAGCTATTTTCTTTTTGCGTGTCTCCGCGGATGAATCCCAATGCCTATGACCGTCACCAACGCATACAAACCCTCAGTCGCGGATGGTACCGCGCCGGACGAGTGCGATTGCGATTGCGGGTGCGCTTGCAATTCCGATTCCCAGTCGAATATCTAAGCTATAATATATCCAAAGAAAAGAAAAGCGATATCTACATACAACCCTGGAGCAGAGTGAGATGATGCACGCGCACATGTACAGACAGATTTACACGTACATCCGATGAAGGCGGCGCCGATGAGCCCGGGCTCACAACTTCGCTTCGCCTCGCCGGCCCGCCGGCCTAAATCACCACACTAGAGCTTCAGAGCTTCGTCGCGTGCCCCGCGTTGAGCAACGCGTGAGCGCCGGAGACGACGAGGCTCCCGCTCGCCTTGTCGCGCATCTGCTCGGCGCAATTCATCGTTAGCGCGAAGTCAAGAGGACGGAGGAGGGGGCAGGGCGCACCTCACAGCGCGCCAATCGCGCTCTGCCGTCCGCGAAGACGGAGCGCGTGGTGATTATGAGGGTCGTGCCGCTGCGTGGGGAAGGAAAGGGAAGGTAAGCGACTGCGTATCCTTGGAGTAGGGTACGCACAGGGGCGCGGGGTGGTGCCAGTAGACGTTCATGGACTGTGAGACGCCCGTGCCATCGAAGCCCTTTGCGAGGCCGAGGAGGACCATCGCGGCGGCGGTCGTTCTGCGTGCAATGAACCATCAGGCGCCGTCTACCAAGGGCGGGATTCAGACGGCGTACGAGTCGAGCAGCGTGGCCGCGCAGCCGCCGTGCATCGTACCGTACACGTTACACATGCCTGCCAACGATGATGAGACCGAGGACGGAGGAAGTGAGATTAGGACAAGCGCACGCACTCTCCGTGACCTCAACCTCCACCACCATCTCGCTCTCCACGCCGCCCGTCTTCTCGTCCCACACATTGAGCGCCACGATCCGTAGTCTTCTCCCGGCCTCGCTCGAAAACGGCGTTTGGACGCGCGCAAGGGGGCTCCCGCCCGTGAAGTGCGCGAGGACGGCCGCGTTGACGAGCTTTTCTGCGTCGGGGATGTTTCCGCGTATTTTGGAGGCGTCGACGAAAGGCGGGACGGGCAGCGAGCGGAGGAAGGTCTCCCATGGAGGGGGCATGTTGCGGGGAGAGAAGAGAGGGATGGAAGGCTAGTGGCACGGCGGTCGGGCGGCTATATCATTAGCACGCTACCCAAAACGGATCAGAAAGTGGCCTCGGCTGTGATCGGGCGGGAGGTTCCGCGAGCCTCGCTTCGGCGCGTTGCGGAGAGGAAAATGGCTTAGGAAACTTCGGAAATGAAGAGCGCGACATTGGACTCTGCCTTGGACGTGTTTGCAAACAAGGATCCGAGAGGAAAGACAAAAAAATAATTGACTGCAACGTGCAACCACGACCCAGACTGGAGTTGAACCAGGTCCTCCCGCGTGCAAGTATCAATTACAGGTTCATATTACGCGGGTGCGGTACCTCTCGCCACTGGGTCTGAATTGCGTACAGTGGACCTCTAACTTGAATGAGACTTTGATGACAGATATCTTAAATATTAAAATATAAGACCTTTGAAGAGAGTATGACCCAGCCTGGAATCGAACCAGGAGCTCCCGCAACGCACAGTCATATATATACCTTCTATTTAAACGGCGCAGGGGCGGTACCGTCCGCCCCTGAGTCTGGTTCCTCTAATGTTGAGGCCTATTTCGAGCGAAACGACTTTGAATAAAGGTAAGAAAGGAGAAAAAAAGTAGAAGCAAGGACCCAGCCTGGAGTCGAACCCGAGACTCCCGTAGCCAACCAGGTCTATAAAACACGGTGCGAGTGCGGAACCGTCCGCTACTGGGCCTCATCCCTAGAGCGGAACCTTAATTCATGGAGCACCGATTGAACGGCCCCAACTTGAAGCTTCGAGTGACGTGGCGCGGCGCACACTGGCGGAGAGAATTGGTGGCATGAGCCGCAAGTGCGCGAAAAATTATGGACGAGTAGAAAAAAGTAAAAAGTAAAAGGCTGGCCAGGGTAGTCAGCTCTACGGGGGGGGAGTCACATAGACGGCACGGCGTTGTACCATCCACCACTGGGTCTCAATTCTATAACGTTGAATCCTGCCTTGAACATGAATTCGAACGAGCAGCCCAGAGCAAAAGGAAGGAATCAGCGAAACGACATGACCCAGCCTGGAGTCGAACCAGGGCCTCTCGAAATTATCCGTTCGAGTATCACCGTGTATAAGGCGCGGGCGCGATACCGTCGACCACTGGGTCTGATTTCTATGGCGCTGGACTCTGCCTTAAAAGGTGAATTTGAACGAGAATCTCGGAGCAAAGATAAAAGGAAAACCGGGTTACTATTTAGGACCTAGCCTGGAGTCGAACTAGTGACTCTCCCACTGCGGGTGCCCCACTATTTAGCCTATGTACACGGCGCGGGCGCGGTACCCTCCGCTACTGGGTCTCATTTCTAAAACATTGAACCTTACTTCAATCAGCTTCGAACGAAATGCACAGCTGAGGGGAAAGTGGAAGAGAATCCTCGAGACTGAAGTCGAACCAGAGAGTCTCGCGGCAAGGGTGCGTCTCATCCACGGAGCGGGGCTGTGTCTAATGGATGCCTTCCGCTTCGGCGAGGACAAAATAATATTCTCTTCAAAAGGAAAGAGCAACTGAGCTCCCCATGACCCAGCCTGGAGTCGAACCAGAGGCTCCCGCTGGAATTCCACATAATATCCTTGAGCACACGGTGCGGTCGTAGGACCTTCCGCCACTGGGTCTCATTTCTATAACGTTGAACTCTGCTTCAGGTGCGATTTTTAGCCGCGATCCTAAGCAAAAAGCACAGACAAAAAGAACTGGAAGCACCCGGAATAACCCAGCCTGGAGTCGAACCGGGGGTTTCCGCATGCAAGCATCAACTGCAGGTTCATATTGTGCGAGTACGGTGCCGTCCGCTACTGGGTCTCATTCCATTAAAGCCGAACCCGGCCTTGAAGGTGAAAAATTGAATGGGAATCTCGGGGTAAAGAAATATAAAAACCCAAGCGGGACGGAGACTATTCATGGAGCACCGATTGACAAGCCCCCAATGTTCGAGTGCGAGTGACGTGGCGCTGCAGGGAGAGAGAATTGGCTGCATGATCCGCAAGTGCGCGCAAAAATCAGTGATGATGAGTGGAATAGAAAAAAAGGAACTTGTAATGGACAACTTGACCGCTTCAGAAGCCGATGTCACGTAGAACAGGGAAAAATGAATGGGGCCTATTCAAGGCCTATTTACGCTGTAGCTATTCTTCGACGCCCGTGGAGCAAAGCGCGTCGAGTGAGTTCAAGTCTGCTTCTTAGCTCCGAAGCAAGCGCGGTCACATGTTCGCGGGTCCACATGACTAAGCTGCACCTCTTTTGTCTCTTCCCCTCACCTCAAATTCGATGCCACAATTGGATGGAGTATCTAACCCACGGGCGTCATCCTAAACGGCATCATCTAGCTCGGACGGGCCTCCCTGCTCTCGCTGATGCTACCAACATCGCAGACCATTCGAAAATCCTACGGCAGCCTCGGCAGGCCCTCCCTCTCGCCCTCGTCTGAATCCTCATTCGCCCGGGATCTTGACGCGTCTGTGGGGCGACTTACATCCACAGCGCATGGGAAGATTCCGATCCCGCTTGTCCTCCCGCCCCCGCGGAGGCGTCTGTCGATGTAGCGGCGGGATCATTTATCTCGACGAGTCTTCATCTCAACCTCGACGACTTCCCTCATGATCAATTGAGCGCAGAACCGCTCCCCTGCGTCGCGCATACTCTCGTCCTGCGGCCTAGTTTCCTGCTCTGTGAGTGCGTAAATTTCTATTTGCCTGCGCAGTGCCCATACTGTACACGCACTGTGGTACCGGCAGAGGCCCAGGGTACGGATATCTTGCCAGCGCACCGGGCCCCACCATCACGCTCATTATGTGTCGTCTCCGACTTCTCTCAGAGCGTCAGTACACTTCAGTATACTCCCTCTCGTGCTGTCTACTATCTGCTAACAGATATTTAGCAACGCAGTCGGATATATATCCAAGACACGCTACGATTAACGATTAACTCGCACTAAAAGGTCCAAATCGTTCCAGTAACTAAAGATCCATTTCCTTTCCGTCAAAACATGTTCAAGCGAAGGTATCGCTCTGGATCGTGAACACGGGGCTAAAGTTCCCCGAGTCGCCGAACACTGCAGCCGTCGTATTAGCGTGCGTCCCCCGTTCCAAATTCAACAAATTAAGTGCTACTCACCGACGAAGACGTAGTCGGAGCCCGAGAGGACGTACGGCACGGTGATCTCGAGGAACCCCGCGCGGAGGTCGAAGTCCTTCGCCAGGATGACTATTGCGCGCGTATCAGTCAGTCGGCGCGAAGACACAGATA